CATAAACAATAATAGATTTACCATTAAACCAGGACATTGTGAAAAGGTATTCCAGAAAATGAAAGAGTGTATCGGCTTCGTAAAGACAAGCCAAAGAACTTTGATAAAGTAGGTACAATCAAGGATACACATTCAAAACAAATTTTTAAAAAGATTGGTTCAAGGAGTGATAAATTAAGAGTAATCAGAAATACTACACACATTTGGTTAAACTGCCATCATACAACAGAAACGACAAAGTAGTTATAAATTGACTCAGAATATCATATTATTATTATGCCGCGGCCTCTCAAATGTCTTACCCTGGCTTTTAATGAATACAGAAGAAAATAAAATATGTAATTAAATATAATACATTCATAGAACGTAATATTATTAAGTTGTAACTTACCTTAATAACAAAAATAAAAATATAATTTCAACACTAGCTGGCTATAACCAAGACTTATTCTCAATAAAAGAAATAATAATAATACGATACTGTCATGATGCGTCTGATTATAGCGATGCGAGACTTATGCCCACTCCGGGTCACTTTATCCTGTTTTCACATAATTTTTTGGGTGCATCAATTATCTTAGCAAAAAAACTTGAATGTCGTAATTTATGGAATACTTATCTGCGCTGTATTTGATTCATTAGATCTTTAGTGGATAATGCAAATTATACAATAATGTTTTATTTATGTTGTGATAGATATTTATAAATTATACAAACATATTTAATTAAATGTCTCTCAGGTATTATTTGAATTTACTATTACAACCTCATACATTTTTACACCATAATCAAACATTCAAAAAGTCAAAACTTAAATTAAATTACTACTTTTTTTTATTAACATACGAAAACAAGGGTTACAGATTAGATTATATAGGTGGCTGAGTTGTTTAGTTATAATAGTGAATCCCACATTTCCGGATCACATTAAGAGTGCCGGATTTTCGCTGAATATCATACATTTATATTGTTTTAGGATTACCTTGTACCTAATGCATGAAATCAAATTTAAATTACCATACAACCTACTAATAATAAATTAGTAATCCAAAATCCAAGTAGGCGATGTACTGAATGTAGACGTATAAAAGTATTATTAATTATCATTGATTATCTATTGAATTATACTATATACATATTCAATATCTACTCAACAGTATTATATAAACTATGAAATCGCCTATAATTTTTTTTTAGAAAATAGCAGTCTAGATATTACATAATGACATAATATCATAAAAATATTATTATGGATCTATGTGAGGACTTTTATGTAGTGCCCTGTGTTCACTACCTAATACATACAACTAGATCATAAATTATTTTAATTATTATAAAATAGTCATTATTTACAGTAGCTAATTTTGTTTGAATTTTGAATTATAAAAAAATTAATTTCCAAATATTATGTATACGTATACCTATAATTTTGAACGAAATAATAATATAGCAAAAATCTTCTCGTATCTGGGTTTTTTTTTATGGATACAATTTCTTAACCAGAGCAAATATGTCTTAATTTTTTTAAGTTTATGGAGTATAATTTATAATAGGACCTTATACATAGTTATAAAGTGTTAAATTAATTTAGTATACTTAAATATATTTTATGTAAATATAAAATATTATATTATAATATTAAATAACTTATGTGTAGGTCCTACGAATACACTTTTTGAGTTGAGAAGAGTATAGAAATCTAATTTATTTACCACAAACTATAAATGTAAGCTTTATAAATTGTATTAGAAATAAGTAACTTTACAAAGTGATTTTTACATAAGACTCATTATTTCGAAAACTATTAACTTTTAAAAATATTTTTTGTACATAATTTAAAGTCTGTAAAACAATATTTTTGAAACAATTTCTTTTCAACGTAACAATTTTAATTTCATTAAGATTAAAAGACAAACATTTTTCACTTTTTATTTCAAAAGTACGATAATTCTCGGATATTCTGATTTATCAAAATCAAATTTTGTACAAAGTTGAAAGTTAAAGTAAACTATAGTCATAGTATAATATTAACTTCAAATAGTATTTTAAATTTAGAAAATAATAATTATGTAAATTTTAAATTATTGAACAGATTATATTTGTTATTGACTAATATTATTCTAATATCGTAATATTTAACTAATATACATAAAATATGATTTATTTATTTTATTTATTTGAAGTTTTAATTAGAATATGTTTTTAGTGAGAAGGTAATTTATAAATAGATAATAACAATTACGCATGCTTATTTATTTTTCTTCTACAAATAATATATATTTATCTATATGCATGTATTCGTTTATACTATGACGTGACATATCAGTTTACACGCATAGTAATTATAACAAATTAACAATTAAAATTCGAATAATACTATAATGACGTATGAGTTCTTTTATTTGCATATACCCACAACAAAATGTAAACTTATATAATAATTTATTCATGAGCGACGTACTTTATTACTTTTTACGTACTGTTATTGTTATATTGTTGTATTGATACATCTTGTTTACGTATAAATTGTTTGTTACTGGGTGTAGGTATCATCAAAATATTGTTCGTTTATGGTACTTACATGTAAATAAACTAGGAAGGTGTAGTTGACGTTTAAACAAAGTCAAGGTGTCCGTAAAAACTATTAACCTTTATTAGAAGAAAAACATCTGATATAATATAAGAGATTAAGAATTATCCCACTTATTATAACTCATGAATTAAAACTTGGTATCAGTCACAACTCTAGACGGGTTAGGTTAGATAAAAACGTTTTATACGAATGAGATAATTAAACTATTTTATTTAAATCGCATAATATGTATATTGTTATGTTAAAGTAAACCTAACTGTAGTCAATGTATCATTATTCATTGTTTTTTAAAGGCTAGTGTATTAACAATCGTGTGTATAGCAAAAAAAATGTGTTAAAAGTCTCAACTTAATTATAACGTTATTTTCTAAAAATATAAATTAGTTATATTTTAATCAAGCCTGATGTAAAATTGTCTACAGAGAATTTGGAATATTAAACTCTTTTATTACATCAATATTTTAGTGTATAGTTATTAACAAAACTATGGTATTTCAAGTACGTGTCAACTCACTATACCTACTCAAATTTATTATTTTAGCCTCTAATTTTTTTATTTAATAATTTATTATACCTACATTCTTTTTTTTAATCGATCTTTATTTTGCTTCGATGGCTTGGCTATTAGTGTTACATGTACATTATGGTAATTATATATTTATATAGTTAACAAATTGTACATATTAATAAATAATACAAAAATACAAAATTAATATTGTGTATTGTGAAATATGAACAATATTAGGTACCACATATTTTGTTGTTATTATATTTATTATTACTATTTATTTACAAATATATTAAATTTATCAATAATAACACTAAAAGAGCTTATCAACTTTCATTTCACCCCTTTTACCTAAATTTTTACATTTGTATATAAATCTCAACCAATTTTGGGTAAACCGATGTTAACTCAGAATTTTTTTTGAGTACGTATATAATATATTATAGGTAATATTATTGTTTTAAAATTAATAGACATTTACCCTGATATCAGAATTTGTTATTGTATTATTGTGCATTTGTTCAATATTTTGTAGTGAGGAAGAAAATAATAGAGTTAACCATGCAATAATCCATCATAAAATATTGAGCGATTCGCCTTGTACCAATATTATGTAGGTAGGTACTATAACTACTGTGTAGTTACTTATATGGTAAGGTATTTATAGTGTTTGAAGCAATTAAAGTATAGATAGATATAACACATATTTATTTTGTATATGTGTACTCAATATTATATACCTATTTAATTACTGTACTATCGTTTATATAATATAACTGCTATATTATAAGACGTGAAATTTCGATTTATGATACTAATTAGTAAATTATATAAATATCATGAACTGATAGCAGTCGTTAGTTTTCGCTGGAGAAAAATATCATCGAATATTATAATAATGTATTCGTGGAATGAGTTTTAAATAATAGGTACTCTATTCACTGTGGTTTCGTTGTGTGTATATTGTTAGGAAGTGATACTAATAGTGCGTGAAGCGCTACGCGTTTAGTGAACCGTGAAGTAATATAGGTGTCTACGGGCTACAGCAAACGGCTGCTGCTGTGTATATCACTGATGATTGACAAAAGGAAAGCAAATCAAAAAAGAAGAAATTGCTTTTTTTTATAAAAAACAATTTGGTTCATTCACCTTAGGTTTTCACATAGGTACTTACTGTTTTCGTGACCGTTCAACTTCTATTAAAACTGTTTTTTTTTTTTTTGTTTAAAGAAACACCAAAATTATGAACCTAACACAATGCCCATCATTGTAATATCTGCATGTAAGGTACTCTTGCTATACACATTTCTTTTCAATGGCGATTAGCGAATAACTTAATAATGTGTTTGTGAAAAAATGAAGTCTATATTATTATAATAAATAATAATACAAAAATTGCTTTTCTATGCACTCGTCAATTTAATTATTTTATTAAAACAATCGGTTAACAGGACAATATAATTAATAAGCTAGTCTAAAATTCAAATAAAGACACCACATTATAAAATTGATTATGAATTGTAAGTTATTTTTTAAAAATCTACATACTAATATATTATACATATTTAATCAATATCATAAAATGTTATATTTATGCGTAAACACATTAAAAAACGTATTGACTTGACATGGTAGATCTTCGCCATGTTTTTTACACATATTATGATAATGCATATAGAAAACGACTAGTATAATTAATTCATAGGTTTTGGACGGAAACTACTTAAGAAAACGCGATCTGTCGACCAAAAATTGTATACCTACAATATATTATTACATAATAATATATGCGTAGGAATTATTAAATGACGATATTCTGTTTTTGAAAATGTGCAAATCTGTATAATGTTTAGTAGTCAGACCCACTGCATCCGCGTTCTCGTATTATTGTTTCAGCAGCCGCAGCCGCAGCAACAACTGCCGCCGGCGAGATAGCCGACGGAATAATATTATTAAAATATTATAATTTACTGGAAACAACTGGCACAGCGACAACAGGCAACAACTGGCGGTGGCTGACGACTACGACAACATCGCCGAGACCACGCACCCGGAAATGGCGCTGATCGTCCCGGAAGAATCGCAACGGCCGTACCGGTTTGGCATGACGCTAGTGTGCATCGGCGCCCTGTTCAACTGGCTCGGGTTGGCCGACCACCACACGAAGCCTGTTCCGGCCGTCCGGTACATCGGTGTCGGTTTGGTCGCCTCGGGCGCAGTGCTCATATGCATGGCCATGTGTTTTTGGATGAACAGTGTGCGCGACGACGAAGACGACGTGAGTAGAGTTGTACCTAAATCATATTGACGTTTGTTTTTGGAAAATCTATATAGATAGGTCTATTATAGATCATAGGTACTTAATTATTATGTTTAGTTCACAATGCTCACAAACAACCATATGTAGACCCATTATTTGAAGAAAAGATCAGAATTTAAATGTGTTAAATTGATAACACAATTTACAAATCTGTTATTTAATAGTGATCTGTTAGTAGAACATTTTGACTCTTGACTGGAGTGTCATTGTAGTCATGTAGATACATTTCTTGTTGTAAGGAGAATAAAATATACGGGACTACTCAGTTAATGTTATTTTCTGTTGGAAGGAGATTTCCGTCTTACTGGAGGTCCGATATAGAGAGATGGTATTTTGCATCAATTGTATTACTTGTAATTTGTCCCATCAGACATCAATAGGTACATTTAAGTGCGTATGTAATTTGAGCCAAAATATAAAAACATAACATGTATTTTGAGCCACATCTAAAAATTAATTTTGGTAATTTGTGCCCCGACAGAAAACGAAATGGACTATGTTAGTAATATGCACCACATTTTTTACTTCAATTGTTGGAATTTATTATTATTACCTATTATTAATTAAAATATGACTGATTTTTATATGTTTTCTTAATAACCGAAATTTTACTTATTTAATATCCATAAACCAAAATTAATTTTTAGATTTGATGCAAATTACATACGCCCGGCCCTCGTTATAAAGAGGCTTTACTGTGTACCTATTGGTTCTGAGCACATAGTAATGGAATAATAGTATTATTAGTTAGGTATATAATTTAGTCATATCAAAACTTTTAAATCGGTTTTAAACCACATCTAAAAAATGGAACGTTTTCAATGACTTTTCATTGATTGAATAAAAATTTAGGTTACTAGAAAAACCAATTATTTTTGAAAAAACCATTCCGTATTGTAACTTGTAAAAACGCTTAAATTTTGAAGTTGTGGCTCTTATGTAAAATTTAGAAAAAATTTCTTCTTGTTTTTAGATAAAAATCTCTAATTAATTGTTCATTTTTATATTTTTAACCTTATGTCGTATATGTTTAAACCCTATATTGTACAACTAGATAAAGTAAATAATCTCAGAACTGTTATTTAATAATACTATAATAGTATACTTGAAAATGCCCGATATAAATGATTTATTTCATGTCCATATAATATATGAAAAAACTTGATTTTTGATACTTATTGCACTTTTTTTTGTAATTTTGATGACCTCGTAATAAGTAATTTAAGCAATTTCATTTTGAGTTGTTCAAAACTGGTTTGTGTTACTATCATTTTAAATTTGAAAATGGTGATTATGATTATTATTTATACAGGTAAAAATAATACATTATTTGGTGTATATATTGACTATCTTCGTGGTTAATTAAATTTAATTACATGTGGTTTACGTCAAATCTGAATAAAACTAAGATAGTTGAGCTCCATAGATGATAAGCCTCATTATGGATGTGGTCATAGATTTCAATTAAGTCGTTCGTTACGCCTATGTAAGCAATCGCTGCTACAACGACCAAAAAAAGTATACATCTATAGTCTATTTTGGTGCATATCATCGGGATATTTGTGCCTGTGAATTAATAAAACCCAGGGCTTGAAATCGATTTCAAAATCGATTTTAAATATCGATAAAAATCGTTAAAATTTTTTTAAAAAATCAAAATTAATATCGAAATCGTGAATGCTTGTAAATGATTTTCAAAATTTCTATTAAAATTGAAAAAAGTTAAAATCGATATTTTATATCAAAATCGAAATCATTACAATGTAATCAAATCAATTTTAAATAAATTTAAAAAAAAAATCAAAAGTATACAAGCATACAGACATATCAGGTCTATTTATAATTAATATTTTTCATATGCACACTCAATGTTAAATTGGGTAATAACTTTGACTATACATATTGTATATCATGCACAATAGTGTGTATAGTAATAACTACTAATAATTAATGACTAATGTCTAATATTTTGTTTTCTGAGAATGGGATAATTACTTTAACTTGTTTGAAATGTTAAAGTAATAAAAAATAATATACAATCATAGTTCAAAAATCGAAAATAATTCACTAATATCAGTGATATCGAAATAATGTTATTTAAATTTTAAAATTAAACTAAAATCGAAATAAAAGAAAATTATATTTAAAATCGAAATCATAATATAATTAAATCGATATTCTGCATCAATATAAAAATCATAAAATCACAAAATCAATATATTATTTTTAAATCGAAATCGAAAAATATTAATATCGATAAGCAAAATTGAAATTAAAATCGAAAATTTTTGTTTCGATTTCAAGCCCTGATAAAACCACCAATGCTACATTCACAAATGCATAATCCTGAAAAGTATTCAATCTCCAGTTCATCTTTACTCATAGTTTCTGGTTAATTGAACTTATTAGTTATTGTGCAACGCATTTATCACATCTCTAAAATGTATCTTTATTCCAAAAACTATGACACAAGGATAAAAAAAATATAAGATAAAAAAATAAATAAATAATTAATAAGTATAAAATATAAGCTGGGTGTAAAATAAATAACTTTCGTCGTTGTTGTGAGAAGCCCCGTTTTATTTTGATCTGGAAATATAGAATGTATCAGTTAAGTGTCCCGGTTTTTTGTGTTGAAGAAGTATGCTGACAACCGTCACTTTATACCATGTGTGCCATCCCCCTAAGTATCTATTATGATAACGAAAGACGATTTTTAATCATTATAATAATATTTCGTAACGCGTTGCTGCCCGTGGCATCCGACATTGTGTTATTGTTAGTTAAGTCGTTTAATGGCATTTATTTTGGAAAACATTTAACAGTTTGCTAGCGTTGGCTGGGAAGAGGGCTTTAGGTCACCATCGACTATCGTTATTGTACTTCACAAATATAATATTAGGTATTGTATACTGCAGGCTGTGTATCGTGTAATGATAATAATGAGTAATGACCAGTAATAAATATTATCATCGAAGTAACCTTCAAATTAAAAATAATCTAAATGCTCTATGAAACAGTAGAATTTCATTTACCGGAGAGCGGTTATTACATGTATTATATAATTTCTCGTCGTGGTTTGCGAAAATACATTATATTATTTTTGAGTTTTAAACTCACCGTAATACGATATCTTAAATATTATAGAAATAATCACATATTATTACTAATAATTAGTGACTAGACATAAGTATAACTACTGACCCATAGGTACATGTAAGCTATAGCTGGGTATAATTATTAGTTTATACTACAATATGTCGGATATTATACTAACACGTTTCAACGGTCCAAGCAAAACGATTTTTTGATCAGGAACAACAATTTTTACACAATTACCATTAGGGGTACCTGAACTTGAATATCTTGATAATATTTATTGTTATAATGTTCAATGCTCCGGTAGATTCGTTCGATGACCTACGCTTATAATATTATTAAGAATCGAATATTTGCATAGACGTGCCCCGCATTGAACTGCCCACACAGGTAGACGTGTCTATTGTTCTGCACGAGCCATACGCATTATAATAAACCTCCAAGATTAGCTATTAGAGTTACTTTGCTCTTAAAATATCTTTGTCTTTTAGTCTTATAACAAACTTTTTTAATATTTTCGACATTGAAAAATTCAAATTCATCGCTTCTATAGATCGTTTTTAGATATTATATTTATGTACCTATGTACCTATTCACCTACTTTCAAAATTGTATAAAATATTATAAAATATATAATGTAATTTTGTTTTAAAGTTTAATCACATCTCTGAATTTTAAGTATTCTCATTTTTTTCCTAGTAATGACTCAGCTCCTTAATACCTTTTTCGAAATATTAAATTGACTTGAGGGTATGTTTTAATTAAAAAACGGATTTTTATTTTTTGAAACTTTGAAATAAAAGACGAATTCGCTAAACACCCTACTCTGAATAAGGTTCAGGCTAAATAGTAATACATTTAAAATATATATCTACAATCGTAATAATTATAAGTGTACTAACAAAACTGACAAAATTGTCTAAACACGTTTGTATATTATAAGTCATGTTAATATTTACAAATAATTTGGAACATGTTTAAGTTGCCAGCGCGGTAAAAGTTATCGAACAGATAATAATAATTGAATGTACATAATATTATCGACCAAAAATATTGTTAATCATACATTTTTGACAAACATTTCTGTAGAACAGTTTTGTATTCATAATAATTTATATTAATTTATCACATAAATGGCTGTAGCTCATGTGCCATCACGAGTCTGTAGAGTATATCTCGTAGACACTCTGAACAAAATAACTACAATGTAGGTCCTACATGTTAATCATTCGTACTAGTCGAGCTATAATAAGAAATAATAGTTATATAATATGTATTACCGATATTGTATCAAATAAATTTAAAAGTATTTTTAAATTTGAATATCTTATCTTTAATCCTCCGTTGGCATAATTATTTTTTGTTTACACTTTGGTAATGTCATTGACTTTAAAATTTGAATACCATTCGTATAACATATGATAAGTTACACATTTTTTTCCAATGTACTGAAACAAATTATTTTGTTTTAAAATACACTATGACCACTTATAACTCAGCTCAAAGTGATCGATAGTCATGAATCATGAATCATGATAATATTTTTATAGATAAAATCCCGCACCAAACCAAATATAGTTATTTATGTGATTTATACTCAAGACTCGTTCAGGGCAGTTAATGTTGTATACTTGTATGCATCTAAAATTGATACTCGAATACGACAGTCGGACAGTCGACAACTGTACCTACTATACCTAATTATTAGTATATTGATTATGAAATCAAATATATTCTCTATTTTCTCAGCTATGTTTGAAAATAATACATGACATTTGTATATTAAAATATTTGATTTCTTGGTTTTGAATAAAGTTAGTGTCGTTTAATAAACAACAAGTTAGAATTATTACCAGTCG